GGCAGCCTTTAAGTCACTATGTGGCAAAGGGCACAACCCAAATGAAGATGTTTTGTGATTTCTGAGTCTTTACTGTTTGGCTCAGCCACCCATTTGCCTCCAAAGAAGCCTAAAGTCAACATTTTTTGTGAAAATCCAGCTTTTATGCTACCTTAAGACCTTCTCGGCACCTGCATTCTGAAGGTGAGACCAGTGCCACTGAAAACACATCAACGCTGCTGCAAGTGCTGGAGTGTGGGATTCCTTATACCCCACTGCTCATTGACCCATTGCATGCTGGTCTGCACGTGGCTCACGTGTTACTGAGCAAAGAAAATCCTTGCTCTACACCAGGACGTGTTCAAAACAGTTCAAAAAAAGCCCTGGGTAATGCTGAGACTTAGTCACTGCAGGAACATTTTCCTTGTGACACACTGGGGATGGGGAACAGTGCTATCAGGTTTCAGAACCCCTCTTCCCAGCTGAGCCCTCATCCGATGGGCTCAGCCTTGCTGGACTAGCTTTAGGGATTCAGATTAGGACAGGCCTCTGCACATAATGCCCATGGCTGGGTTGTTTTCCCAGTTTTAAGTTCAGGAGCAGCTGTGGGAATCCCTCTGGCCAGCAGACCCTGTCCTCCTCCCCAGGCTGTAGATCAGAGGCCTGGCTTTACGCACACCAGCTCAAGGTCAAGCTTAGCTACAGCACATCTGCCCCAACACTGAACACCACCCGCGCCTGACGCAAAAGGAAACCAGTCAGGATGTGGAGAACACCCTCCCTGCCCCGCTTCCGTATTCTCCACTCTGGAATAAACCCTCTCGTGAGCCATCAGAGACGGAAAAAATACAGCTTCAGGAGCTTATTATGGGTGGATTCCCAGGAGAAGGCATTCCTCGTATCCGCTTGTGATCCAGGATGCTGCCCGTGTCCCAGGCCGACGGTGTTCCCTCTCGAACAGAAAAGCTCCTCTTGGTTCTTGCTCAAGGAATCACTGCCGTTTCTTTGGGGCAAGGAGAGGCAGGACTGTCCACAAACATCTGGCCCCTGTGGCTGAATTCGGTCCTCCTCGGGAGGCAGGCACTTACCTGCACCACCGCTCAGACACACAGAGAAGCCATCCTGGCAAGGTTGCTCCTTACCTTATGTACACTTTTGGGATTTTCCAGCCAAGCATAATACATTTCCTCCACATAGTTTGAACTAGTCCCACTCAGAAACGGCTCGGCAGCCACCGGTGCACTGTAGCACCGGAGTTGTTGGAACGTCCTGGGTGCTGCCGGTTTGTGTTGGGAAATTGTCTTTACAGTCTGCGAGGCCGTCAAGGGCCTCAGCTTTGCTGCACAAGTCCTTAAGTTAAGCATATTTGTCCCGTTGCCTCACACAAGTTCCTGTTGGGCGGAAAGAGAACAGAAAAGTGGGTTAGGAATTACTGTAGGAGGGCACTGAGCAGACACTACCCCCCTCCACCCCAAGCACGGAGAACTGAGTTCAGGGTGTTTTCAGTTCGGATTCATCCCTCCATCCCATCCCATGGCCGGGTCCCTGATGGCTCAGAAACACAGCTTTTGATCAGGACGCTCGGCATGGCTGGATCTGCCCCCCCCATCCCCGGCAGCACGGCATTGTCACCTCCCCTGTCATGACAGTGAGAAATAGATTTGCTTGGCGGGTACCCAACTGCAGCCTCGAGCAAGCCACTGCGTATCAAAGCCACCCCCGTTTCTTGATTCAGTATCTTCGTACAAAACAACAGGGTTTTCTGGGGTGAAACAGCCCATAGTAACAACATAAGGTATTGGTTCCCCCACCACTTCTCTCTTTAGCTCCCTCCAGTATCATCTTTTGATGATATTCCAATAATAAATCCATAAAATATTCTTGGATTTTTTTTGTTTGTTTGTTTGTTTGTTTTTTAATTCTTCCCCTGAGAATCCTCTTTAAATCCCCTGTAACTCAGATCCCAGCAGGAGTGGGACACTTTGGCCTTTCAACCTCCCAGGTAGAGGGAAGTTGTAGGATTTTCAAGAAAAGCACCTTTGAGCACTGAAGGGCACTTCAAAAGAATGTGTTACTAGCTGGATTTTAACACTTAACATCACATTTTCCCTCACATCTGCTGGAACCTCATGGGGTGTGTGTCCCCAGGGCAGCATACGTCACAGGGGTACAACCTCATCACCCAGCGTGGGAGCTTCTTCCATCACTCTCCCTCCCAGGTAGAAGGTCTGGGCTTCAATTTCTGTGACCATTCTGCTTGGCTGAGGTTTTCTTGATGGTTTGTTGTGACATGCATCAGGATAAAGTTGGGAAGAAACTGTTTACAGGGAAGACCTCTTGCAAAATAGGGGTACAGTGGTGCAAAGCACTTAGGAAGTGGGCTCCAGGACAGACTGCTTCTTCTCAAAAGCCCAGACCCAAGAATGCCAAGGAAGCTGAAAGACCTAGACAACCCAAAAAAGTGACCTGGAGCAGGTATGGAACCTCTCAAAGGTCCCACCTTGCAGCTCTGGGTGGGGAATGGACAGGGAAACTTGGGGTTAGCCAGAGGGTTGCCCACAGGGTCAGCATGGGGTTAGACACATCTGACCGACAACTGCAGCCCAAGAGAAAGTGCTGGAGCAGGATCATCTTGGCATTTGGAGCAGCTCTTCTTGGAGCTGCCCTTTCCACCCAGCTCCTCCCTCAAGACGCAGGACCCGGGGCTGGAGGTGACCCAGCTGGCTTGTTTCCATATCCCCGACCAGTTTAACAAGCCCAATGTCAAAGCAGTTATCACACATTCACCAGATTAAAATGAAGTTTCACAAGAGACTGAAAAAAACAACACACCTTCACGGCCAGCATTTTTTCAGCCAGCCTTCCAGGTTTGCTCGGCTGAATCTAGTCCTGGCTGCTTGGCACAGCACTGGCTGCACCTCCCATCACAAACCACAAGGGTCTTGTTCAAAGAGCAAGAGGAAGACATGGTGTCACTCAAATTCAGCCAGTGTTTGACAGATTAACCCAAGGGAAAAAGGGAACCACTCGTCCTTCTCACCCTGCCAAGAAAGGCTGAGAGGTGTGGGACAGTAAGTGCGGCACCACTGGGAGTTCCTTCAGATCACCCTCCCTCAGGTTTACACAGCAAAACACACAGAGGTATTTGAAAGACTCAGAAAGTTGAGGGTGTCCAGCCAGGAGAAGAGAAGACTCTGGGGAGACCTTAGAGCCCCTTCCAGTGCCTAAAGGGGCTCCAAGAGAGCTGGGGAGGGACTTTAGACAAGGGTCTGGAGTGACAGGACAGAGGGGAATGGCTTCCCACTTCCAGAGGGCAGGGTTAGGTGGGATACTGGGAAGGAATTCTTCCCTGTGAGGGTGGGCAGGCCCTGGCACAGGTTGCCCAGAGAAGCTGTGGTTGCCCCATCCCTGGAAGTGTCCAAGGCCAGGTTGGACAGGGCTTGGAGCAACCTGGGCTGGTGGAAGGTGTCCCTGCCCGTGGCAGGGGGGTGGAATTGGATGGTCTTTAAGGTGCCTTCCCACTCAAAGCATTCCATGATTCCGTGATATTTCAGAGAGCCAACTGAATCAGGTGCCACAGGACTGGCACACACACAACACAGAAAAAACTTTAGGATGGAAGCAGCAGCAGAAACTCGTTTGGTGTCCAGTTCTGGTGCTGCCACTCAGCAGCATTCTGTGACCTCTCTGGAAAACAGGGAAGTTAATGCTAGAGCATTTGACCCAAAATGAGCAGAACCAGCTGCTATTTGAGGGCCTCTTGCAGGAAATGCTGGCTGGGAGCCCAGCAGGAGACAGGGCAAGCTCGGAGCAGAGATGATTCCTGATTCCGAGCTGGATCAAAATAGAGCACAACAACCAGAAGCAAAGGGAAAAAAACCCCAAGTCTGAGATAAGGGATATCGGGGTCACTCAGGAATACAAAGGTCACACACAAAGTGACGGCTGAGGAAGCTGCAGGGGGGCAGTCAGTCTCAGCCCAAACCTCACCAAAAGGTCAAACCCCAGGAATACCCATAACAGATGATGGCCCAGAGCGTGCCAATAAGCAGATTAAGGTGCTAAATTTGACCCCCGGCAGCAGGGATGGGGACGCCAGCACAGACGAGGGATAGCTGGGAATGGCTTGGGACTAGCGAATACTTTTTGGGTGTAAAACAACACAAATTCCGCTCTCCAGGAAGCCGGGGGTCCAGGGCTAGCGGCTGCAGCCGCAGCTGCTCCAGCAGTGGGCACCCCGGGGCGGGCGGGGGCCGGCGCGTACGCTGTGCGGAGGCTGCACGGCCGGCCCGGCCCAGCAGAGCCCCGGGAGGCGCAGCGGGCCCAGCCGGGCGGGCCAAGCCGACCCCGCGGGGGCCCCGCGTGCGCCGAGCGCGGGAAGGGCCGCGCGACCCCCGCCCCGCCCCGCCCCGCCAATCACCGCCCGCCGCCACCGCCCGGGCCCGCCTACGCCCCACGCCCGCCAATCACCGCCCGCTCCTCGCCGCCTATGGGCGCGGCGCGGGCCGCCGAGCCGCCTTCCTATTGGCCACCGGGCTGTCCGTCTCGGGGCAGTGCCGCCCCTCCCCCCCCAACAGACGCCCGGGCGGCACCGCCAAGGACACCGGGGCGCGGCCCCCTCGCCCCGCGCGCCCCCGCCCCGCTCCGGCCCCGGTGACCGCCCGGCCCACCCCGCTCGGCCCCGCCGCCCGGCCCCGCCGCAGGACCCACCGGCGCGTTTGTCCGCCCTGCTCGCGGCCCCAGCTGTGACAGCGGCCCCGACCACTGGACCCGCCCCGCCCCGCCCGTGCGTCACAGCGTGGCCACGCCCCCGTCTGGCCACGCCCTCCGCCTCGTCCCAACGCGCCTGCGCGGCACGCGGGATGACACCCCCCCTCCCCCCCCCGGTGGGGCGGGGCTCGGGGACCGCGGGGGGCAGGCGGGGACACGCACCGGGACCGCGGCCCTCGGACCCCACCGCGCCCTCAGCATCCCACCTGCGGCCTGCGTGCCCCTGCCAGGGCCTGCGGAGCTCCACCGTGGCGTGGAGGACCCCTCACCTTGGAGACCTCAGGCCTTTGGGGTCACCCCAGCGCGGGTGACAGCCAGTGGGGGCTCAGGGGGTCAGAGGAGGTGCCGTGGGAACTTTGGGGTTCCGGCGGTTTCCTGCCGGTGAGTCATGGTGGCACCAGAAGCAGGGTGGCACTTTGGGGAAGTGAAACATGTGCCAGGAAAACACCCTGGCAGCCCGCAGTCGTGTAAGCCTGGCCACGCACATCCCCGGCCCTGCCAGTGTGGCGCAACCTCCGGCACGCCGGAGGGACGTGGGGATGAGGAATGTCCCCAGAGGCCACGTCCCTGATGGCTGTGTCCCAAGGGTGGCACGGGTGGACACAAGGGACCAGGGGACAGCAGAGCCCTGCGTCCACTCGTATTGGGGCAGTGGGGACAGAGGAGGGGGGACAGAGGGAGCACAGCTGGCTGCAGTGCAGGGCTCTGCGCAGCAAAGGAGGAAGCCGTGGGGAAATGGTGGAGTGGCAGCATTTGCCCCACAGCCCTTTCTGGGGTGGCTGCAGGGCCCTGGCAAGGGTGGGTGTCATCACAGCCCTGCTGGGTGGGGCTGGGACTGGGGCTGGTACGCGGTCACTGGTCCCACACATCAACCCCAAACATCCCCTCTGCCTCCTGCCCCGCACACTGGCCTTGGAGCATCCTCAGTGCTCTGCCCCACACCCCAACTCCAAAGCATCCCCCCACTCTGCCCCACACTCCAGTCCTGGAGCATCCCCTGCTCTCCCCCGCTCTCAGCCTCCACAGTGCACTGCTTGGGGGCAGCCAGCCCCCACAGCTCTGCCAGTCTAGAAGGAGGAACTGGGCAAAACCGGGCATTGCGAAAGCTGGAAATCCCGCTCTGACGGCGCTTCCTTCCACAGGCTCTTGAAAACCGGCCGTGCTAGAGCTGGGCTCAGAGAGCAGCACAGGCAGGAGCCAAGAGCCATAACTCTTGCCGGGTACCCTCAGGTCTCTGCCCAGGACTCTGCAGTCGGTGGCGGCGATGGCGTTCGTCCCTGATTTGGACACCCTGGAGAACAGCAGGTGAGCGTGGCCGTCCCAAGAGATGACTTTGGGGACACGATCCTGCACTGGTGGCCCTGACTTCACCATCTCCCTTTGCCTTTCAGCCTAAATGAGGAGATGTTTTATGGCCCCGACTGCCTCTGCCCACAGAAGGTAACACTGGGGCGGTGGGAGTGGTGAGATCTGTGTGGTGGGGAAGCCTGGCACTCACCCCTCTCTTTTCTCCCCAGAAACCCCGCCTGGATTTGGAGGTGACATCACCCAGGGTGGGCATCCAAGTGACAGTGACCAAGGGACATCCTGCCAGGACCTTTCGCCGGGCTGCTGTCCTGGTGGCTGCTGTGACCAAGCTCCTAAAGCAGCCAGTGCACAAGGACTTTGCTGACAGTGACCTTGGCAGCTTTTTGGATGATCTTTTCGGTATGGGGGTGATGTCAGGGGTGTCACCCCAGCCAGGGTGTGCTCTTGGGGAATGCACTTGGACCTGGAAGCATCAGCATCCCTCTGACTGTCTCCCTCCCCACAGAGCCCATCTCCTTCCAGCACGTAACGGGCAGTTATGCCGGGGCTCCCGTCTTCCGCTACACCCGCTCCCAGTCCTTTGACATCCTGGACATCGACCACAAGTGTTTCGTGCTGGAGTCACCAACCCAGCTGGTGGCCCTGCACCTGCAGGGACCCTCTGTGGGACGGAAAGGTGAGGGGACACAGTCCCATCCCAGTGTCCCTGCCCCCGACCCCAGGACCACCTGGGAGCCACCCGACAGCAGTGGGATTACCCATTAACCCATCCCTTCTCTCTGCAGTGAAGCTCAACATCGCTCTGTACCGTCCCCGGTCCTCGCAGGGCAGCCCAGGGCCTGGGCGGGTGCCGGTGGCGTTGGGTATCAAGGGTTACCAGCTCTACATGTCATGTGTGATGAGTGGCACCAAGCCCGTGCTGCAGCTGGAGGTGAGCGTGGGGCCCTGCCAGTCCATCCTTCATGGGGCTGGGGGCTCCATTCCTCCCTGACCCCTGTTTCACCCCGTTGGCTGTAGGAAGCTGATGTCAGGAGGGACATCGAGACCGTGGAGCTGACCCGCTTCATCTTCTACCGCCTGGACAGCCCAGCCGAGGGCACCACCCGCTTTGAGTCAGCCGCCTTCCCCGGCTGGTTCATCTGCACGTCCCTGCAGCCCCGCCAGCCCGTGGGTATCACCGACGCTCCTGACCAGGTGAACATCGCTACCTACGAGCTGAGCGGGCGCTGAAGACCCCGCACCAACCCAACCGGCAGTCACCGGTTTTCAGGCTGTATGTACCGAGTACAACCCCCTGGGATGGGACCCCTCTTTCCATCTACTTCAGGTGACATAGTAGCTCTGGGCCCCATGGGCTCAAGGCACCCCAATCTTTATTTATTTACTTATTGTGTCTGACCAGTGCTTTTATATTTATTTATTGTGCTCTCTTATTTATTTTTCCTTTTAACTTGTATGTGTTTTATTGTTATCTGGAACACTGATGTTTGTAGAGATGGAAGTGCTAATAAAAGGTTTCCCAGGGATGAATTGCTCAGCTCATTACTCTCATGGGGATTACAGACGGGAAAATCCCATGCTTTGGCTGCTTTTGGGCACTCTCCAAGCCTGGGAGAAAGCCCAGGGGGTAGGGGGCAACCCCACAGGCCGGGGACCACCTTGATTTGGCCAGACCCATGCAGGACCCTCCACCTCCTTGTCCCCATGCCCACCCCACAGCTGGGGAGTGACTGGGGTGGGCATCCTACAGGTGGAGGTGACACACAAACCCTGGCAGCCACCCTGGGCTGTCACCTCTGCTCCAGCTGCTGCCACTACCCCAGCTCACCGCAAATCCCAGCAGCCACCTGGGGCTGTCACTTCTGCCCCAGCCACGGCTACCACCCTCACCACTGAGGCATGGCACGCTTGGCCACAGTGCAGCAGGACAGCAAGAGGTGTGGCGTGGCATGGCATGGCATGGTATGACATCGCATGGCATGGCATGGCATGGCATGGCATGGCATGGCCTGGCATGGCATGGGATGGTATGGTATGGTATGCTATGGTATGGTATGGTACGGTATGGTATGGTGTGCCACGTCACGCGATGTCACACCACACGATGCCATATCGTGACGCCATCACACAGCACGGCATGGCATGGCATGGCATGGCATGACACGGCATGACATTGCGTGGCGTTGCATGGCGCAGCGTGGCCAGCCGTGGCACGGCTTCACATACCGCGGCGTGGTATGCTGTGGCCTGGCACGATGTGTCGCGACATGTCGCGGTGTGTCACCGTGTGTCACCGCAAGGCCCCGCCCGCCAGAGAGCAGCCTTGTCCCCGCCCCCCGCCCTCCTCCAGCCAATCACGGCTCTTCTCTCTGCCGGCCCCCTCTCTCCATTGGTCAGTTCGAAGAAGGCGGCGGCCAATGGGCGCGGAGCGGCGGTTGGTGGCGGTGCCGGTGGTCGCGGCGCCCGGGATGGAGCGCGCGGGGGCGGCCGGTGAGGGGCTGGGGGGGGCGGGGAGCGGAGCGCTGGGGTCCTGCGACCTGGGGACCCTCTGGGACGGGCACACTCCGCGGGGATCCTGCGGGGTGGCCGCGAGTGCCGTGGGATGGGAGTGCGGGGAGTGTTGGGCTGGGGGCGGCCAGAGACAGGCCCGTGGTGGCCTCTTGGCAGAGGAGCAGGGGCGGCCTGAGGGGCTGCTGGGGCTCTGGGAAGGAGGCTGAGGTAGTCAGAGGGGGTGAGGGTGCGGGTACCCACGAAACGGGCCCAGGGGCGCGGTCTGGCAGGAGGGCAGTACGGGAGGGCCGGGGGTGTGTCGGGGGTCTGCGCTGCTATTGGGGCTTTGTGGAGGCCTTTCAGGGCAAGGGGCTGGGAGTGCTGGAGATGCCCTCGGAGCCCAGGACACGTAGAGGGGGAGGGTGGGACAGTGTTATGAACGTGGGGGGCCCTGGGGACAGGGTGATGCTGGACTCTTGCCCCAGTGCCACAGCAATACCGGGAATGTCAGAGGTATCCTCTGTCCTCCTGCTGAGGCTCCTCACTTTTCCCTGTTGCCTGTGTTAGCAGAGATCTTGGCCACCACTGGGTGCAGGCCTGCAGGATACACAGCTGCCAGGGGGTCACGGGCAGCATCTCCCCTTTCCCTCTGCAAGCTGACTGAGCCTGGCACAGCTGAGGTGTTGAGCAGCACCACGCTGTGAGGGTCAGGGAGCTTAAGTGCCAATGAGCCCCTGGGCAATATCGTGTGCATTGAATTTCAGGGCACAGCATTGCCAGGCTCTCCAGGCACGGGAGTGCAAGGTAGTGTGTGAGGGTAACAGAAACTGTTTGTCAGGGTACTCCTTCTGCAGGACCGAGGCAGTGCTGCATGCACATCTCCTGTCATCTCTCTGCAGAGCAGCGGAGGAGCCAGCTGCAGGACTGCCGAGCAGCCAAGGAAAGGCTGAAACACCTGAGTGCAAAGTAAGTCAAGATGGGCTTGGACTAGATGATCTGTAAAGGTCCCTTCGGGCCCAAATCACTCAGTGATTCCCTGAGCTATAACTGGCTTTTCCCCACTAGCCAGTGTCTGCTTTCTCTCACCTGCATACAGAGAACCAGCTCCTGCCGGGCCCCGCAGTCTGAGTTCTGCCCCACAGCACCCCAGCACTGCTCTGTAGTTACTGGCAGTGGGATCAAAGGGACAGCTTGAGTGCTGTCATTTCCACCAAACACCACTAAGGCAGAAGAAATGAAGAGAAAAGATACAGGACCTTTCTTTATGGCATAGTACAGCACTTGTGTTGAACTGGGATGATCACCTCTCTCTCCGGGCTCTTTTCTTACAGAAAAATACCTGCACAAGCATTAACCTTCCCTGAGGGCTGAGTTGCTTGCCCCGGTACTGAGGAGTGGGGAAAATCCATAGCTGGCTGTTGTCAGAGGGCTCTAGTTCCAGGAGGAGGAGGGGGAGGGGAGTGGGACTGTGGTAGCTGACAGTGGGCTGCCATCCCACCTCCTTGCTTTGCTGCCCGTGTCCGGGCAGCTGTGGGGCCCGAGGGCTGGGACACTCCAAGGCACCACTGTGACCTGCAGCATGGCAGCAGCATGACCTCAGCTGTCTGTGGCACACAGGACAAGTCAGAAGCCTCCAAACCCCTTACCTGCCAGACCCCAGCCTGCATGAACCATTTTGGTTGCTTTTGTTGTCTGTGGAAGTTTTGTGACAACCTTGGATGTTAATGGCTTGTGTTGCTTTTCTGTTGCTTCACAAAAGAATTATAGTATGTGGTACTTCCTGGATGGGTTTTTGATTTCTGAAAGCTTCTCCTAAGCTCCTGTGTCTGAGACAACCAGCAGTGGGTTAGATATTTGACTCTTTCTGCGGTGGCTGATAAATAACCAAAAAAGTTGTTAAATAACCCAATAACTTGTTAAATAACCTGATAACTTTTTTGACTCTTACAGACCCTTTTTAAAGGACCGGACAAATGACCTGAATCCACCCTTAGAATCAGTTTCTAGACTCAAACATGTAAGTAGAAAGCTTTCGAGTCTTTCATGTTTGAAGTGAGTCTGGGCAGAACGGGGTTGCCTGTTGCAAAAGAGTGTTTTAGGGTTGCTTGAAGAAACACCATCAAAGGTGCAAAAGCAAGTTTAATATAAAAGTGAAAGCACAAAGAAGTTCACTGGCAAGGTTCACTCTACTACTTACTGGATGGTTAAAGCACACAGAGAAAAAGCAAATTAGAACCTCAAATCAATCAATCTAAAACCAAAACCAACCTAAAAATGTTGAGCTTGGGGCTTGGCCTGGAGGATGGGAAAGGGTAAGGATAGGATGGGAAGAAGATAGGATGGGAAGACCCATCCGTTGAGTCACAAGTTTCAGAGCAGACCCCCTCGCTAATCTGAGGCCAGGACTTGACCAACAATTTAGGCCTACAGGTTCTAACAGCACTTAATCAGTAGGTTAGGTTAAACAATTAGCAAAGGATTCATATAGAATTTACTGTAGCACAACAGTAAGTCACTTACAGACCTGATTTACTGACAAGTCTGAAGTACTTAAGAACCGAGGAGAGCCACCTTCCTGGTACATTTGCTGTAGCATATTCACACTCGCACACAAACCTGAAGAGTCTGTACAAGGTACCTTTGAAAAATTCCCCTCAAATTCAGTGAAGGACTCACATCTCTGCTTTTGCATCTTCTCGATGGGCAAGGGGTTGAGCCTCGAGGAGGGGCTCCATCGTCACTGTTTGCTGATCCTCCAAGTATAATAAATGTGAAAGTTTGCTGGCCCTGAGGGGCCCCACTCAGAGGGAGATGCTGGTCACAGCCCACTGCAGTCCAGGAAAGCTCAAAGGGTCTCACTCAGGGCCTCTGTTTATATGGTTGTAAGAGAGTGGGCTTTAGTCATAATAATTTTTCATCCTTGCTACAATTTGGGTCAGCAACTTTCTTTGAAAACCACATCCCCAAGTCAGGGTCATGAGTTCCTGACTCCAGATGGGGACACTCAATAGATTGCTAAATAGCTGGCAATGAGTCAACTACTTATTTTTTCAGAGGAACTTCATTTAGTTTAGTTAGGAGTTTCAATTTGAAAGACTGATCCTTTGCCCATGTTCTGGAGGATGCTGTGTTACTGTTCTGTTGACAACTGCTTTGTCACCATGGGCCTTCACGTGGCTGTCCCCCTGGGCCAGTTGTCAGGGCCTGACCAAGCTGAGCTCTCCTTGGAGCTGAGGGCTGCTTTGTCTCTCCAGGTTGACAGGAACAAGAAGGATGTTCTCAGAAACGTGACGAAGAGTGCTCAGGGGGATGGCAAGCTTAGTGCCAAATCCACACAGCATACTGGCCACGCTGGCCAGCAGAAGCCTTCAAACACATTCCAGAGAGCAGTGGGGGTGCATCCAGTGCAACCAGGGAAGAGCACAAAGCTTCCTGCTTCTGCACAGACCAGAGGCAGGCTCCCAGCTCTAGACTCTGGTCACCTAAATCCAGAAAGGAAGCAGAAGTCTGCACAGGAGACTGTCACCACTACAGCACTTCATGTGGGAAGTGACCACTCCTCTCCTGGAGCACCTTGCTCCCTGAATGAGGAGCTGCAGGATGGGCTGGTCTGTCACAAGGAGAACCTCAGCCCACGAGCCTCCACACTCCCAGAGCTAAACAGAGATTCCAAATTTGATGGAAGCAGTCTTGGAAAGAAGAGAGTCTTGGCTTACAGGCAAAGCTCAGCCAAAATGTCAAGGCCTGCTGTGGGCCCAGAGGACAAAATTAATAACCACCAGGATAAGAAAAACCCAGTTCCAGATAAATTCAGGAAAATCCTGCCAGGCTCAAAGAGCGTGTCTCAAAAAACAAGTGTCAGAACTCAGCCATTGCAGCCCCCTAGGTTCCTTCCTGCTTCTGCTCATTTGCTACATAAAACCCCAGGGACAAACCAGGAAAAAACTACGGCAGTGAAGCAACCTGTGGGAAAGCCACTTGACAGAGCTCCAGTGGGAGGTTTTAAGCATCAATTCCGACCCCCAGTGAGAAGTTCTCCCACTAAGCCTCTGGCCTCAGGCAGGCCCCAGGGGACAACAAACCTGAAATCCAGCCTGAACCGAGGTGGCACCGTGTCATGGTCAAGGCCCGTGATTAAAGGGGGGATGGACAGGAAGGACATGAACGTGGTGTGTCCCAGCCACACAGCAGCATCCCGAGGAACAGGCCATCCAAACCAGCCTCGCAGCACACACTGCTCCAAAACTCGTGCACTTGAAGGTGATTTGAGGAGTAGGAAAGATCAGCTTAAACCGGAGCTGCAGAAGACAATTGTGCAGGCTGGGCGTGTTCCCAGGATCCCGTCGGCTGCAGATCGTAAGTAAGTGGCAGCTTTGGCCACCTGGATCCTGCTTCCAGGGAACAGCAGAGTTTAAGGGTTTGACTGAGCGAGCCAGCACCATCCTGCTGGAAATGGGGTCTAAAGTCTTTTTTCAGTGAAGGCTTGTTGGGAGGTTGATGTCCCAGAAAAGAGAGTTGGGAAAGATGTTGGGTGGGGCCCTGGGTTCCTCTCCCACCAATTCAGTGAGTGGGAGGAGAGTGTGTGGCCATTCTGTGTTAGCTTCAAGGCTTACACTTGTGAGGGTTTTCCTTTCCCAGTCTAGAGCTCACATGTGTTTTTGGGATAAATGTACCAGTTCTTCCCAAGCAGCTGAAGTTGGCTAACGGGATTCTATGGAAAAAACAGTAGCTTGACAAGAGCTGGCTGCCTGCTGGGGTGGTAACCAAGGTGATCCCTTGATCCTTGGACAGGAAACAGCTGGAGGAGTGGTTGGCATTGAAAGGCAAGACATACAAGCGGCCACCGATGACACTGCTGCAGAAGCAGGCAGTGAAGCCGCCCTGCAGAAAGGTCGAGGCGAAAGAGAAGCAAGAGAATCCAGAGCAGCACTGCCTGGTGAAGATCAACAACATATTGACCGAGTGCCTGAAGTTTGTTGAGAAGGTAGGAATGGGAAAGGGGCTGCTTGAACGGGCTCCTCCTCCACTGGAGCATCCCAGGGGATGAGGACCATGTACCTTCACAGCACAGAGAGGTTGGGAGCAAGCATTCAGTTGCCAGAAGGGAAACATGAGTAGGGAAAATAAAAGTCCTCATGGAGTTATGGGTCGGTCAAAGGCACATGGTGAGCTATGCTGACAGGGAAAACAGAGAGGTACCCCTTCAAAAGGGATGTTATGTTATGTTATGTTTCAACCCCAGCCAGCAGCCAAGCCCCTCGCAAGCACTCATTCATTCCTCCACCAGTAGGATCAGAAAGAGAATCTGAAGGGTAAAAGTTACAGGACTTGTGGGTTGAGATAAAGACAGTTTAACAGGGAAAGTGAAAGCTGTGCACACAAGCAAAGCGAAACAAGGAATTTATTCTCTTCTTCCCATGGGCAGGTTCAGCCACCACCAGGAGAGCAGGGCCCCATCACACGTCATGGGGACTTGGGAAGACAGACGACATCACTGCAAATGTCCCCCCCACTTTATATACTGAGCATATGATCTGGAATATCCCTTTGGTTAGTTTGGGTCACCTGTCCCAGCTGTGTCTCTTCCCAACCTCCCATGCACCCCCAGCGCCCTCCCCAGTGAGGCAGTAGGAAAAGCAGAAAAGGCCTTGGCTCTGTTTAAGTCCTGCTCAGCAGTAACAAAAACATCTTCATCGTCACTGTGTTCAGCACAATCCCAAACACAGCCTCATACCAACCACTGGGAAGGAAATTAACTCTACCCCGGCCAAAAGCAGTGTGGGACTCAAATGTGTCACTGACAGTGTCCTAGAAACTGGCAGTGCAGTCTGCAAAAGCAATGTCTGCAACAGAAACACAGGCTGATTGAACCAACTTGAGGTAGATCCCTACTGGGGTCACGGTCTGAGGTGAGGCTCTGGTGGGGAACTGTGGCTGGGAACACTGACTGCTAGCCCCACTTCATGATTTAGTGGCTCCAGTAATGCCAATACTGGAGTCTATCCCTTGACACCTCTTTGGAGTACTAGACTCATTTATCCAAGGGGAAGATAGAGGCAGGACAGCTTTTATCTGCCCATTGTTGTATAGGAGACTTGTAAACCCAAACTCTTGAGACCCAGTTTCTCCTGGAAAGCACTGGAAGCATAGTCAGGTACTGACAGCTCCCCAGTGCATACCCTTGTCCTTGCCATGGACACCTTTCTCCAAGTCTTTGCCCTTCTCCTTGCAGGGTATCCATGCAGAGGAGCTCTCAAAAGTGCTGTCTGTTGTGCCCCAGGCAGAGAAATTTGCCAAATTCTGGATCTGCCAAGCGAAGCTGCAGGCCCGGAGCGGCCCCTTTGATGTGATGGGGCTGTACAGAGCAGCAGTGTGCGCAGGTGCTCAGGTGTGTGGGGCTCACTGGCTCCCTCTGTTCCCTGCCTCAGCATGGGTGGGCTTCCTCTGGGTCCCGGGGGCTGAATTTTGGGATGAGCTTAGCAGCACTAATCAGTGGTGAAAAAGCCCTTTCAAGCTGCTGGTTCTGTTCCATGGGCAGGGTGGGCACCTGCCCAGCCATGCTGGGTGCTGACATATCCCACTGGGAGAAGGGGAATCCTGCAGCCTCTTCCTGCTGTCCTCAGCATGGGGTGTTGTGATGCAGCAAAAGCCTTTCCTCCTATTCAGCTGTAATTCTAGTCTCCATTCCCATGCCAGACTTGCCCTGACCCATGTTCTGCTTTTCCTGCAGCCACTCCAGGAGCTCAGGGAGGTTGTTCTTGATATTTTGAAGGCTGCAGGCCATACGTCAGAAGGTAACCTGAACATGGGGGAGCTGTCTGGAGTGTGGGCAGGCCAGGGCTCCCTGCTGCTGCCATCTGGGAAACAGCATGGTGTGCAGTCTGTCCCAGCACCCCATGTCCCTCTTGACTTTGATGGAGACCGAGTGTTGTGAAAGTCTGAAATCCTGATCCCAATAATGGGGCAATGTTCCTCTGCCAGGGCTGGGGAGGGTCCTGGCCCGGCACACCTCCATAGCCGGGCGACCTGGCCTGTGTCCGAAACGCCGCATTGTAATCCCTCCCCAGCTGGCACTCTCTGCAACTGCATTGCCCTTTTCCTCTCTTGCCAGGTGAAAAGGCTGAGCAACCCATTCCTTTGGAACCTACAACGCCTTGTCCAGGTGAGAGGCAGCCCATAGCATCAACTCCAGGCCCGGTGGGGAGGCCCCTGACCTCCCTTCCTCTTTCAGTCAAGTTACAGGTCACATCTGCATCCAGGTAAGGCAGAACCCCCCTGCTCCTGGCAACACATACCCTCCATGCCACTGCTCCTCCACAGGGTTTACCCAAGGTTTTTGTCCTCTCCACAGAGGTAGGGAGTTCGCAGAAGGCCCGGAATTGAAATTCCTGACACCTGTGCGGCGCTCACTGCGGGTCGAGCGGGCTGGGAGCCACTACCCGGAGATGCTGAAGGACCATGACCCTGTGGTGTCATCCCTCAGTGAAATCCTGGATGCTGAAGAGGAGACTCAGTTCTTCTTCCGTAAAAACAAGGCTTTGCCAGAGGTGACGGGGCTGGAGGGTGTGAGTTCATACAGCCCTGAGAGCTGCTAAGGGGCTTCTGGTGGAGCCAGTCCACCTGCCCCCTGTGCTGCCTCGCACACAACTCCCCTGGCTGCTCTTGCTGCCCCTCGGTTGTAGGCGTGGGGGGATGGCACAGAATAAGCCTGTTTGAAATATCTAAGTGCTGTTTTAAATATATTAAAGTCTTGCAATAGAGATGTGTGTGGCCTAGTGAGCAGTGTGGAAGACTGCATCCCCCAGGACCATCCTCAGCTTCTCTGCCTGATTTTCCTGCTGTAGGATGGTATCAGTCAGACTGCAACATTCCAAGCACCTCTCTGTTTTGGAAGTGACATCTCAAAGGATTTGCTCGGGAGCTGCCTGTGCCCTACCTGGACAGCATCTGGATGTCCCTGCTGAGAGGCACGTGCAGACCCAGTGTCCAGAGGCACGAGCAGAAGTGCTGTCTCTGCCTGAGTGGTTGGGAGACCTGCAGTGCTCCAGCAGCTTCTGTGCAGGCTGACAGCAGCACCCAGAGGGGTGCAGAGGACCTTGGGGTGCAGCAGGCCAGGCCCCCCAACTTCTGGGCATGGTTGGGGTCCAGGATGGGCCAGGGAGGGGCAGATGAGCCCTGTAAGTACACTTGGGGACCCCTCTGGTGCTGTCCCTGCAACTGGAGCAGGCAATGGCACAATGTACCGGGCAAGGCGTTGGCTCTGGGGGGAGTAAGGGGTCCCTGCTGCAAGCAGTGACCGTACAGCTCCTGTGGAGGTTGGGGGAGCCCGACTGTCCCCTGCCCAGCCCCAGTAAGCAGTGGTCCTGACCCCATTCCACATTTTTGCCTCCTCTTTCCCTCCCAACACACCCACCCCCAGTCTTGGTTCAGCATCTACTGAGTCCTGGATGCCAGAAGAAGTCTCAGAGCAGTGTCCTGGGGTTCTGGTACGGGGCTGGCTCCACTCTGGGGAGCACTGCTGGCCTAGCTCCCTTCTCTGCAGAGGAGGGGTGACTTGGGGCTGCCACCTTCTACCCAGGGGCTTGTGCTTGTCCCAGCTGCTGGGAATTGCCCTTTGCTCCCACCTCCCAGGTGCAGGGACAAAGCAGTTTTCCTTTAAAACAGCCAATTTTATGTCTCTGTGGTGCCAGGAGTTTTGAATATCTTTTATAAATAGAAAAGGGTAGCAAACAGAAGAGGGGAACAGCAGGTGAAGGGGGTTCCCATGGAGCAGCTGTCACCTCCGGAGCCTCCCCCCACTGTACCCAGGGCCACAGTGGAGAGGCTGGAGGGGCAGGAGCTCAGGGACCCCGACTGGTGCAGTGGGCCTTCAGCGATACTGGAGCAGCAACACTGCCCACTTGCCCTGGCTTTGAGTGGCCCCAGGCTGCCATTGAGTTGGCAGCAAGGATGTTAAAGTGGGGCACAGGACAGCCAGCAGGCCGGGGGGGGCCCCCTCTCCTAGCTCCAGGTGTAGTCGGGAGAAGGGTCCCACAGCCTAAGGACAAGTGTGATGGGGGCCATGGGTTAGGGCCACCAATCGTCCTCTGGCCACCAGAGTAGCAGCTGACCATGGGTGGCTTCAGTCTGGCAGTGCAAGTGGTCCAGGGCCACCAAATGCCCTCCTGTGGGGCTGGCACCTGCCAGGGCAGCAGGCACCAGTGCTGGGGTGGGCTCAGGCTTCTCCATCATCCTCCTCCTCCCCGCTGGAGTCCTGGGGAACCTGAGACAGTGAGAGGGCTCAGTGGGAACAGCATCAGCTTGGCAGGACACCCATGTCCTTCCGCCCCTCTGTTCCCTGCCACCTACCTGCTGGCCAGGGTGGCTATGCCGGGCCAGCCAGGGGGGCAGGGCTGTGCCAACTTCCCCTGGGTCCAGCCGAGTGTGCTCCACCGTTGACTCATGTGCCATCTGCAGGGGGGACAAGGCTCCCAGAGAAAGTCTAGCACAGGCTAGCCAAGGGGTTGGGGGTTGGGTGCCCACCCAATGCTTCCATCAGCCCCATCCCCCCTCAGGTAGAGAGGGAAACTGAGGCACAATGGATGAGCAGTGGGGGTCAGGGGCTGCATACCAGGACAGGGGGTGCCCGGAAGAGGTAGCTGAAGGGGTAGTAGAGGAAGTTGATGAAGGAGGCGGCATAGAGGTCTGCATAACGCATCAACTGGTTGGCAAAGAGCGTCTGGCGTGAGCCGCAGCGGAAGAGGCTGCCCATCTTCCCGTAGCACATGTCCATCTCATGTGTGACTTTCTGGGGGTGCAGCAAGACAGTCAGGGCACCCAACGCCCCTGGGGTGCCCCAAGGGGAGAGTCGTTAAAGGGGGGTGGGGCTGAGCTGTGTGCCAGCTGGGATGGCGCCCTCGGTGTCACCTGGATCCGACGCTTGATGGAGCTAATGTCTGGGCGCTCGCTGCTGCCACTGTCCAAGTGCCTGGAATGGGGCAGATCCAGCTGCAGCTTCGCCTGGAGGGTCCTCCACAGGTGTTCCCACCCCTCCCCACTCCCCTCACCCACTCACTGGTACAGCTCAGCCAGGAAGAGATCGAGGCTCCGCAGCTCCTCAAACAGCTCTGCAAGGTCAACGTGGCTGGCTCAGTGCAGGAACCTCCCCCACTGCCCAGCATGACCGACACAGAGGGGCAGGGCATGGCCCGCTGGGGCGGTTTTGCCATCGAGAGGCAGGGGAGGCTCCAGGCCACATCCGCCAGCAGGGCAGGGTCTGTGTCCTCAGCCAGGCACTGCTCACCGCTCTTCTCCGTCCAGACCTGCAGCTCACGGGCCAGTTCAGGCACCACCAGGAAGGTGCGCCAACCCTGCCGCTTCTTGGACTTGAGGATGTCCCCAAAGATGTGGTCCCCCATGTAAAGGATGTCTTTGCCTTTCACACCCAGGAGGTCACACACCACATCTGAGGAGCCTGTGACAGCCAAGGGTCAGGGTGGGGGCATGGGCACGTCCCCCCCATGCCTGGAGCCTGGCCTGGCACTCACCGCCAGAGTAGACGGCGCAGTGCTGGAGGGGGCCGGTGTACGTCCCAATGCGCAGCTTCCCTGTGTCCTGTGGGACAAGAGGACCCCACGATAGGAACACCATTATCTGTGTCCGCTTGGTGCCCACCCAATGGTGAATCTACCCCGCTCTGCCCAGAGGAGCCCCCGTAGTGCTCAAATAGTGCACACTGCCCCAGCTGGCCCCACGACAGGGGAGGGGTCCCCACCGTGTCAACTTGGCGCAGGACAGTGCCCTCAGCGAAGAAGAGGGGCTTGCGGGTGTCCACCACAATCAGGTCAAAATAGGACCTCCAGGGGCGCTGTGGGGTGTCAGCCTGTGGGTGCCAGGGTGGGGGGGTCAGCAAGAGGCTGCTGATGGCACCCTGAGCCTCCCACTCTGCCCACACTGGGGACAGACTCACCTTGTCCCCATCACTGAAGTCAAACAGGTAGGACATGATGGCCTGCAAGGACATCCGGCACTGTTACCCATCCCCAGAGAAGGCAGACACTGACTGCACTTCAACATCCTCCCCTCTGCCACCCCCACCCAGGGCACGCTGGACCTGGCAGGGGGGGCACACGGACACCCCTTACTCACATCAGTGTAGGTATAGTCACTGTTGGTGGCCAGGAAGACCTTCCCCACCTCCTTCATGCGGCTCAGCAGTAGTGGCACACGGGGCTGGTGAGGGGCAAGTCAGCATGGAGGGGGCTTGGGGAGACCATGGGGAACTGGCAAAGGGGAGCAGGGTAGGGAGGGGTCCATGAGGGTCTGCACATACGTCCTTCACCACATATTTCTCCAGGTTCTCCAGCGTCTTCTCCTTCAGGCAGCCCTGCAAAGGGGATGAGGGGTGGAGGCTGGCCAAAACCTCCCAGGCTGCGTGCAGGGAATCTCCAGCACTCTCAGAACCTCCCTCCCCCCAGCCCCCTGCCCACTGCACCCACAGAGAGGTGGACGTGGTCCATGGCCTCGCGCACATCCTGGAACATGCTGAGGAAGGACATGAAGAGGTTCCCGTGTTTGTAGCCGGTATCGCAGCTGCAACAGTCAGGAATGGAGGGGGTGAAGGGGCTGCCCTGCCAAGTGAAGCTCCTCCAAAAGATTATTCCCTGCCATCTGATCCACCAGCAAGCCCCCACCCATCACCTCCCTTACTTTACATATCTGGAGCAGTTGGTGAAGAAGTCCACAAGACAGGCATAGAGATGGGCCTCTGTGTGGGAGGGATATATGAGAGGGGGTGCAGGACAGGACAGCACCCCAAGGTGGTGGGGGTGAGAGGGAGACGGGGGTTGTCACTCACCCGTGAGGTTGAAGAGGGTGTTGAGAATATGGAAGCGCTTCATGTCATCCCGCTGGATGAACTTGTTGGGGTAATAGTGGAGGATTTCGGCTCTGGGGAAGGAGCACGGAGCTGCACTCCACTCCAAGGGTCCCCCCATTCCCCCTTGCCCCTGAGGTGGGGGAGTCCCAGACTCACCCCTTGAGGAAGCGGAAGCCATGAGCACAGACCAGCAGGTTCCCATGGGAATCCACCTTCAGCAGGTTCCCATACAGGGCATCGAACACCAGCCCCCTGCAACACATGGCTGTCAGAGGGTGGGGATCTCACCACCCCTCCCCGGGACCCCCTCCCCAAACTCACCGAGTGGGGAACGTGGGGTCATACTTGTAGGCGAGGATCTCGGGGGGGTACCCAATGGCGACAAGGTGCTCCAGCAATAGGGCAAAAGCCAGCTCCTCGTAGTCAGGGGACTTGTACACTGCAGGGAGGCAGAAGGGATGTGGACAGGGGTTGGGGGGGTACCACCACTGCCCCACCCTGCCTTCGGTCCCCCAAAAACGCACTGGCCAAGGTGTAGTCCATGTCAAAGCCAAAGCACTTGATCTTCTCCAGCGCCAGGCTCCGGTTGACGAAGATCCTAGGGGCGATCAGGTCAGGGGGAGAGTTATAGGGAAACGGGGGTGTTTAGGCCTAGGGGTGGCACAAAGGAGGGGAGGGGGACGTGTTCCCCCATCCTGGTCCCTGCTCAGTGCTCTGTGAGGGTCGTGTGCCTGTCCCAGCCCAAGGACCCCATAGTGAGTTATTGGAGCAGAAAAATGGGCTTTTGAGCTGGAAATGGAGCTGGGGGGGGAGGGGGATGTGTGCTGTGCAGGGAGGGGGGACAGTGGGTCCCTGTTTTGGCCTGCCCCCACCCCTGACACGTCTACGTGGGGTGACCCCAAAGGGCTCTGCTCTCTCCCTGACTCCCTCCAAGATTCCTCTCTCGGTGCCCGTCCCTTGGGTCTTGCCTCCCCCCCACCATGTGCCCTCCCCACCTGTTCCCTCCCAAGCCTCTCCAAGGAGCCCCAAGTCCTGCTGCACCCACAGCCCCCCGCTCCCTCAGCCCCCTCCCGCCCACCGGTGCTGGCAGTCCCTCCGCAGCGCCCGCGGGTCGCCCTGCCCCGGGTTCGGGGCCGCCGCCGGGCCTCGCTCCCCCTCGCTGCCCATCGCCACCGCCTCCGGCCACCGCCTGCGGCCGCCGCCGCTTTAAGGGGGCCCCGCGGGACCGCCCCGGCCCGGCCCCCGGCCCGGCCCCCCCGGGCAGCACGGCCGCGACGAGCCCGGGGCACCCCGCAGTGGTGACCCCAAACGGGGCGGTGACGCCTCTCCCTCCCCACGGGCCCCGCACACAGGGCAGTGCCCCCGCGCCCCTGAACGGGGCTCCCCCTCCCCAGCAGAGCCCGCGGCCGCTGCCCCCGCCGGCCCCCCCAGCCCGGAGCTCTCGGAGCGCCGGGCCGGTGTTTGCTCGGAGACGCCGCTGGCAGCGGGGAGCGACCGGGGGCGAATCATTAACCGGGGTCAGGGACCAGCCCCGCTGCCGCCCCGAGGCCGCCCCGGTGGCCGCCGCGGTCCCGTCAGGGGGCGGGAGCGGGGCCGGCGCGAGGGGCGCCCCGGCCTCACACCGGGGGCCGGGACAGGAGGGAGCACCCACGGCCCCCGGGGCGAAACGACCCCCGCTCGGCGGGGCTGCGCGGCTCGCGTCCCCACGGAGCACATAAGGCACCTCCTGAACCCCACCTGTGTCCCCCCACGGACCCATCCCCATCCCTCAGCACCCCCCGCCCTTTCCCCCGCTTCTTGCGACACGCTGGGGCTGCTGACGTGGGTACCCAGGACCGGCCTTGACCCAGGTAGGAGGGAGCATCCCCAGGCACATGGAGGAGGGCATTGGAGCAGCTGCTGCCCCGGGCTGGGGAGGGGACACATGCACAGCATGGGCCTGGTGACAGGGACAGGAGTTGCTCCAGGTGTTGGGCCCAGATAACACCCCCCCACACCACCACGAGGCTGTTTACAGCCCATCCCATGACACAGTAGGCACGTGGGGCTCTTATCTTCGTCCCCAGCTCACTCGTGGGGCTCCAGGCCAAGGCAGGAAGGGCCATGGGGCAGCAGCCACGCCAGCACCCCAAATCCCCAGAACCACAGGCACTGCTGGCATACGAAGGAAATCTTTATTGAGTCCGAGGTAGCAGCAGTGACGGGGGCCAGAGGGCAGCCCCCAGGACCCCCGCGCAGGATGGTGACCCCGAGCAGGATGGTGTCTGCACCACTACAGCAATGGAGGCAAAGCTGAACACAGCACAGCCTGTGAGGGGGGTTGCCCCACCACCCCCAGCCCTCCCCTCACACGGAGGCCAAGGACCAACCTACATCCTTCCCCCAAGGAATCACTGCCAGAGGATCTTCATTAAAGTCATTAGAAGTGAGAAAGTGGCCCCTGGTAACTGCTAATCTACAGCTACAGCGGAGCAGAGGGGCCACCTGGGAGCACAAACAGCCGCGGTGGTGCACCCCCCACAATGTTAGCGCCAAGACATTTATATTAAAAAAGATACTTCAGTGACAGCACTAGGCAGACATGGGGGAGCTCCACCCCACAGCAGGCAGCTTCGGTGGCTCCTGAAGGGAGGGCAGCCGTGGGAAGCAGGAGCAGTGGGAGCCCTGGTGCCCTCACACCTTCAGGACAGCAAACCTGAAGACGGCCATGATGGCAGCGCTAATGAGGCCGGAGATGGGGACGGTGACAAACCAGGCCATGAAGATGTTGCGGAAGAGGCGCCAGTCCACTGCCTTCCTGGAGCGCAGCCAGCCCACCGAGACCACCGAGCCCACCTGCCAAAGGAGCCAGAGCACGGCTCGGCACCCCCCGACACGCACACTTTCACTCACTCCCCACAGCCCTGGGTCATGCTCCAGCCTGTGGGGACCCCACAGAACGCAGGCAGGGAGTGCAGGGCAAGGAGCTGCCACCCCAGAGGGGTGAGGGGACAGGGCCCTGCAGCATTTGTGTTCCCATGGCCTCTTGGCAGAGCCCAGGGGACCATGAAAGGCGTTTTTGTTTTCCCATCACCTCCCAAGTGCCCCAGGGGGTGCCCCCCCCAGCCCAGGCAGCCCTCGCTGCCTCACATTGAAATGCAAGCGGCACAGCCAGGAGCTGACAGTGGCTGGAGGCCCAGAGTGGGACCCCCCACGCAGCTTGGGCCTATGAGCACTAGGTTTTGGGGATGTTGAGCTCGCACTTAGCCAGCACCATCTCCCCTGCCAACCCCCTACCTTGCAGTGAGTTGTGCTGATGGGGAGGCCGACATTGGAGGCAATCACCACCGTCAGTGCTGACGCCAGCTCGATACTGAAGCCACTGCAGGGACAGAAAGCAGATGAGAATAGAACCAGACACCCCAAAACACGCAGTGGGCTCAGCTCAAGGCAGCACAGCAGTGTCAGCCCCTGGCTTGGCTCTCCAAACACTCAGACCAACCCCCTCCAGGATGCAGGGAGGTGTTGGAGCCACACACGCCCCTGGCTCCACCGCTGAAACCCTCAAAAGAGCAGGAAGAGCGGCTCCTGGCCGCTCTCAGGCTGCCTGGAGCCTCCCCTCTGCTTCACAGCAGCCCTTACCTGGATGGTGTGATGGGAGTCAGGTCCTTCCCCATTGTCTGGATGACTCTCCGTCCCCAGACCCACAAGCCGATGCAAATCCCCGCACCCCCATAGAGCAGCAGCCAGATGGGAGTTGCCACCTTGGTAGCCACATCGCCCGTCTGATAGACCAGGTAGAGTGCGACCAGGGGCCCTATGGCATTGCTGGAAGAGAAAGAGGATCTGGTCTAGAGGGCCAGAGGCTGTTGGCAAGATGGAATATCCCTGGAGGTGTTCGAGGCAAGGATGGACAGGGCTTGCAGCAACTTGGTCTAGTGGAAGGTGTCCCTGCCCATGGCAGAAGGGTTGAAACAAGATGATCTTTAAGCTCCCTTCCAACCCAAACCATTCTGTGATTCCACAGTTCTGTGGGCACTACAGCCCCAGCCAGCAGCCCCCTCAGCTCCCGCTGACCCCACTGACCTGACATCATTGCCACCATGAGCAAAGGAGCCAAAGCAGGCCGTGAGGATCTGCAGGAACTGGAAGAGCAGGGACACCTCAGGCTTGTCCTGGTCGTGCCACTCTTCCAGAGAGCTGCTGCTGCCTTTGCGGTCACTGACACCCAGCTCTGCCTGGGCTGTGTTCAGGTCCACATCTACAGCTGGGTGGGTGTCTGCCACTGCATTGCAGTAGCTGGTGTAGCTGTCCATGCGGACCCTCTTCTTAGTGTCCACCACAGACCAGCTCAGCCTGTCCCCCTCCTCGCCATCCCTGGCACGCAGCGAGTCCAGGGGCATGCCGCAGATGGCCATGGTGTAGGAGGTGTAGCTGTTATTGCGCCTCAGGGGCTTGTCCCCAGAGTCCCCCATGCAGTCCCCCATCTTGGCCAGGTGCAGCTTGTGAAGCAGCTCCTTGTAGAGGCCAGAGTCCTTGTGCACGGTGTGATACTGGTACTGCCCACCTGAGCCCAGCTGGTGGCCCACTGCCTGGCTCAGGTGGACCAGGTTGCCATTGGGCAGCCGCACAGCTCCTGCCGGGGGGGACAGCAGGTGGGGGGTTAACACCCAGGGGTGCCTTGGGTGGGGGGAATCCCACCGCTCATATCACCCCCCACTACTCACCACTGTCAATGCTTGTTTCCTTCAAGTCAAGGCTGGGGAGCCTCTCCTGCTCTGGGCCCTCCTCCAGCTCCCCCAGGTTGAAGGAGACCATCCTCTCCTCCACCGCTGCCTGGGGGGGCACGGCCGACCCCACATCGGCAACAGGGCCCTTGGCATCGTCCAGGGGCACCTTGGCCTCCTCTTGCTCCTCCTTTGGGCCAACGTTCTTCTCCATCAAGGGGCTCTCAGATGGACTCGATTTGATCTCTCCTGTGAAGGGGGGCAGCTACTATGAACTCCTTCCCATCACCGAGCCCAAGGCCAGCAGCAAGCCCACACCCCTCGCCACTCAGATTTATGGCAGCCAAATAAAATTAACAACTCCTCCCCCTCCCCTGAACTTTGGAAACTGACGGGCAGTCACACCTTGTCCCGGGCACAACAGCCAAACCATCTAAGACAGCTCATCCCCTATTTTTAGACCCCCCCACCCACACGGGGTGTGGTAAACACCATTATGGGGCTTTTATGCCGGTAATGTCTAGGGCAGAGGTTCCTCTTTGGGCCATATTTGTCCCATCCCCATGAGCCGTGGGATGCTCTGGACCACTTCTGGAGCGGCTGTGACCCCTGAAGCTGACAGAAAGGTGCCCAGAAGAGCCCAGCTCCTCTGCCAGCCTGGCAGCTCCAACCCGGGCTCCTCTCCAGCTTCCATTGGTGGGTGACAAACCCAAACAGGAGTCGGTCTCCACCTCTCAAAGGCAGCCTGTTTTCCTGCCCCCCCACCCCCACCCCGGGAGGCAAACCAGCAGTGCTCAGCCCTGAAGCTGAGGCTGTTCCTCCCACTCTACCGGGAAAAGCATGTTTTCTCCAGGTGAAAACATGAGGTCAGCTCCTTCAGACAACAACTAAAACCACCTCCTTGTCACAAACATGACCATTACCCAGTCACTTCATTTGCCTCAAGGGCTGGGCTGTGGCATCAAATCCCCCATCCTGGAATCCAGTCCCTGCAGAGCTGTCTCCCTCTGCATGCCCACTTCCTCTCAGGGATGCTGTGGGCAGGCAGGGAGCCTGTCTGGCAGGCAGCAGAGACTGCCTTGCCTTGCAGGCAGGAGTTAAGCTGAGCAGCTGGAAGATTGTCAAGAGCAGCCATAAAGCTGTTAGTCACACCCTAATTACACCAGCACGACAAGGACACCGGTTATCCCCTCATTGCCAGCTCCCGAGGCCCCAGCCTGCACACACCATTGATATTCAGGACCACATGCGGCTGCTCAGGAGGCAGAGCTCGGGGCTGCTCCTTTGGATGCCTTTCAATAGACTGTTTTGGGTTTTTTTGCTACAGGGAATTTCATCAGCTTTAAACTTGTGATCTGCATCAGCCGGGCCAAGGATTGCTCCGCATGTATGAGAGGATTAAAGGTTACAACAGGCACGTTGTCTCCTGCCTTCTCTGTCCTCTATTAAAGTGGCACCAGCTGTCTGACACTTCCCACAGCTCAAGGACAGATCACCCTGCAGATAAATGGGTTCCAGACACAGATCAGCAGCACAATGGCTACTCTGAGGGTGTTTTGGGGTGCCCGGGTTGGGAGCAGGCAGGGCTCAGCATGGCAAGTGCCCCAGTGACTCAGAGCAGGTTAATCCCTGAGCAAAGATGAGGATCCTGCTAATAACAGCCCCACAGCTAATGGGATCTGCTGCTGGGAAGAGAAGTCAGTTAGCCAGAGCATGCCCTTCCCTGAGGATTGCAGAGGGATGTAGTACTTACGGTCGATTTTCTTCTTCATTCTCGGACATACAAAGAACCAGACGACGAGAGCACAGACAACAGCACTGCCCGCCGAAATTAGGAGGATACCCCACAGAGGAAGTTTGTCAAAGCCCAGCACTAGGAAATAAAACAACGGATCTTTGAAAACCTCTGGGCAAAACCCTCCTCGACATATGACTTTGCTTTTCCCAGGCAAAGGGACTCCATCCCCTGCAACAGCCCTGAGCTAATCCACCTGCCAGGGAGAAACGCTGCTGACTGCACCAAGACCCAGGGTGTGTCCTCCAGGTCACATCCCTGTCAGCTGCTGACCCACACACAACCCCTTTCCCCAGCTGAACCCCACCGGGAGCAGTGCACGCCCTGGGCTCCACACAGCCCTTGCCTCCTCACTTGCTGCAATGTCAAAGAAAAAAAAAAAACGCCTCCAAGTGCAGCTGCTGCAGCACTAGTGCCGTGTCCCCACTCCAGAGAGGACAGGGAGGCCTGGGCTACTCCCACTGGAGCCCACCGACCCCTCTGGATGCCAGGGAAGGCAGCTCTGCTGCTCCAGGAGTCACCAGGGATTTCAGTTTCATGGCATCTGAGGTGATACATGACCCAGTTCAGAGCATTCCCACAGGCAGCCTGACTTTGAGCAGAGGGCTGGCATCATGCAGCCCTGGTGAGGGCATCAGGTGCTCGTGACCACCCAAACCCTGCATTTTTTGCTGCAGGCAGTGACTTACTGCTCCTAAGGCACCCTAGCACTTCCAGCCACCTCACCCACGCACAGGACTTCCTGCAAACCCTGTGCTTAAGTGGCCCAGCATTTCAGGGCTCAGGATAAACATGGATCCACCTCGGGGATGCTGAAGGATTAAGAGATTTTGGAGCACCTACAGTGCCCCCAGCACCATTGCAGCCCTGCCCTCTCCCCCACGCTGGACAGCCTGCGGAAGGGGAAGCTGACATCCCTCCAAAAATTTTTCCAGTCACTGTTTACAGAGCAAACCCTACCAGAGCCAGCACCAACTGCCCACATCCCACCTCCAGCGGCTCCTCCACAACAGGAAACCCACGCTCACACCAAAAACAGCTCATGCCAAGTCACCCCCACAGACAACAGAGGTAACCGAGTCCCCAGCTCCATGGCAAATCTGCCCGTCCTGCTGAGCCCTCTCCTAGTCCTGCCTGTGACCTGTCCCCTGCACAACAGCATCTCAGTTTGGCTTTTCCAACTGAAGCCCAGACTCCTCAGCACAGGGGCCAGCTCTTCTTGCCAAGGATTAGCTTGTTTTAAGGGCCAGGTGAATGAGGAGATGCAGCCCCCATCCCTGCTCCTGGCCCCACTACCAGCAGCCCGAAGAGTTTCTTCGGTGGCCGCCAGGTACCTGAGCTTTAGCACAGGTAAGAGAAGGGAAGGGGAAGTCATGTTATTAGCCAGTCCTGGGAAGTCTAAGGAGAAATGTCTGGAGGAGTTTAGTTTGAGCAGGTCTCTTTGGTTGGGCAACTACCTAGCCCAGACAGCGCAGGCCAGCCTGCCGCCTTCTGTAATTGGCACAGGCCAGCCGCCTTCTAGGAGATCTCAGCCCTGTAAAGCAAAAAAGGAGTAAATCGTGCATTTAATGGAGGCTTTAGAAAGAATTCCAAAATTCAGGTTCAAGCATTCTGCTGGGTACTTACAGGGTGCCCCAGTATACATGATGGAGAAGAGGTTGATCCCCACAGTGCAGGCATAGAAGACGGGCAAAGCTCGCAGGCCGTTGGGAACAGGATCTGCCTGGAAAACACGGATCAGTGCTGTGGAGAGGCAGACCAGGGGGCTGTGCAGCGGCCAAGGAGCAGCCCAGCAACAGACCCTTTCCAGAAGGGGTTTGTGCCCTCGGTCACACCTGCTGGTGGCAGCTCCTGCAGGTTCTGCCGGGAGCCAGAGCTCCCAGCAGTCTTTAGGGAACAACCCACAGCCAGACCCTCCACCATCTGGGAGGGCAGGAGGTGGTAGAATACTGTGAGTCCCACAAGGCTCCCAAGCGAGCCGTGGCAGGCCCAGCTGAGGGTCCCAGCACTTCCAAACCTAGAGCATCTCATCTCTTCCTGGCTCCTGAACCCTTCCCCTGGCTCCCCAGCCTGCCACCTCCACCTATGTTTTCCTTTTAACTCCCCAGGCACTTTCAAAGCTTTTACCTCTTTCCTGCTGACTCGGACAAAATAAAAAGTCCATTACTCACAAAGCGGCTTATTTGACCACATACCTGCGCCGTGAGCCTCTTGCACCAGCAGCAGGAGCATTTAATCCATGCTGCTGCCCAGCAGTCAGGGTCTGGTGTCAGAACAAACACACTGAGCCTTCCTGAACGCCGAGCAGCACAGACCAACCGGACTGCTCAGCACCAGCATGGAGCGTGACAAGGCCAGCCCTGCTTTGGGAGGCCGGTTACACAAGATTACTGTGACAGCGGTGACGCTGAGCAGTTTTAAAGGGCTGCCACTGATAAGATCTCAACATCTCTTGAACAAGAAATTATTAGAGCTAAAACCTGAAGGAATTTAACCTCAGATATACAGAAGAAAATGCTGGAGTTCTCTGCATAGCTGGCAGGACACCCCTGCTCTGGGCTGACACCATCCTGCACTCCAGAACAATCATCATCATCTCAGAAAGATGAGATCTAAGGCTGTCATCTTCTTTCCAAATACTTTGTGTGCCCAATCCCTCTGTCTGGGTTTTCAACACTCCCCACAGTACAAGTGAGTCCCCAGAGGCAGCTCAAGCACCCCTCACCTTCCTCAGGTGGAAGGAATGTGCTTTCCTCAGCCCCAGGGACAATTCTGTCCCTCCCAGCTGAGGAAAGCCGAGTCTGTGGGTCACTGCCTTCACCTGCAGCCTGTCCCAAGGGCAGGTCCAGCCTTGTACCAGGATTTTGGAAAAGCCCAGCAAGCAGCTCTGACCTTATTTATTCTGGGATACTTCACTACTGGAAAATGGGACTGTTCCTGCTAAGGCCAAGCAAGACAATTCCCTTATTTCAGAGGGGGAAAGATGATGCCACCACACCCCCCAGTTCTGCTCTGTGGAGTGGCCACAGCTCCCATTTCCCACCACTTCAGCTCCCAAAGGGCTCCCCTGGTGCCAACACGCAGACTTCAGGATGTGCCTAGAGAAACCGTGATGACCATAGGCCAATCAACGAGTCCATCAGGAACAGCCAAGAGCCCTAAAGTGTCAGGAAATGGGGCAGACAACCCTTACCTTACAGAGGATGAACTTCTGGACGAGGAAGAACAGAATAGCAGACATGATGCCCGAAAGAAGGGGTGAGATGAACCAGGACAACACTAGGAAAGGAGAGGCACAATTAGCACCATGCTGCTGCCAGGGGAAGCCCAGGGAGGCCACGCTAGGGTGGACTTACCAATCTTCAGCAGTTCAGACCACTTGACACCTTCTTGCCCTTGGGCCACCAGCGAGAAGCCAATGGTCGCTCCAACAATGCAGTGGGTACCAGAAATGGGAAGCTTCAAGAATGAAGCCATCAGCTGCCACACAGCAGATCCTGGAGAAGGAGGAGAAGCCTAGTAAGAAAGCCATCACTGGGGCATCCCCAGGCACGCTGCCCCCCCCATTGTGACCCCCCTGTTCCTTACCAAACATGGAGCTGATCGAACCTGCCATCAGCAGCTGCTGGGTGGAATTGTACATCTCCACATCAATCAGCCCCTTCCGGATGGTCTCACTGACCTTGGCTCCCAGCAGGACAGAGCCCACCGTCTCGAAGATGCTGGCCAGGATGCAGGCCTGCCGAAGGGTCACCACCCCCGAGCCCACGGCGGTCCCAAAGGAGTTGGCCACGTCGTTGGCACCGACAGAGAAGGCCAGGACGAAGGCGATAATGAAGCCCAGGATCAGCATCCAGAGGAAGCCGGCCATGGGGGAAGTCGGCACCGCGGGGGGCGGTTCCATGGTGGGTGCGGGGCGATAGGTTAATAAATTAGGTATAAAATTAAATAGGGGGGTTTGCTATAGAGCACGGGGGGGCTCCGACGTCCTACGGGCCCGCCGGCTGTGGGGGCTGGGGGCTGGGTGCCACGCCATGGTCTGCGCCGCTCTTCATCCTGCGGGAAAGATGGGGATCAGCGAGAGGGGTGCGGGGGGCGGTACCGGATACCGGACCTTCCCCCCGCCGGTAACCGCCGCTCCCGCGCGCGCCACCGCGCCCTCCCATCGCCGTGTGTGTATATGTGTATATGTGTGTATATGTGTGTGCATGTGTGTGTGTATATGTGTGTGTGTGCGCCCGCGCAGCCACCGCCCGTCACCTCCGCTCACCGGCTGGGCCGAGCCGCGCTGTCGGTGTCGCTCCGCTGGTGCCGCCGCTCAGGCCCGGCCCGCTCCCGTTCGGATCGGCTGAGTTGGGTTGGGTTGAGCACGGTCCGACCCGCCCCGCCCCCGTCCGGTCCACTCCGGTCCGGTCCGGTCCGATCCCGGCCACCCCCGCCGCCCCGACTGGCGCGGCCGCCCGGCCCGGCGCGCTTTAACACCGCCCCCGCCCCACGTGACCGCCGCCCCGCCCCTCTCGCTAGCGCGCGGCACCGCCCTCGTCGCCCATTGGCCCGCTGCTGGCGGGAAAGGGCGGGGCCGTGCCGCCATTGGACAGCGCCGAGCACAGAGCGCGGGCCCGGCCCCGCCCCCCGCGCGGGCAGGGCGCCCGGGAACCACGTGCGTGCTCGGCGGCGCCCCCGGGGCGGAGCGGCGGGAACGGCACCGGAACGGCACCGGGACCGGCACCGGGAACCGCACCGGAACGGCACCGGGACGGGACCGGGAACCGCACCGGAACGGCACCGGGAACGGCACCGGGAACCGCACCGGAACGGGACCGGCACCGGGAACGGCACCGGGAACCGCACCGGAACGGCACCGGAACGGGACCGGCACCGGAACGGGACCGGCACCGGGAACGGCACCGGGAACGGCACCGGGAACCGCACCGGGACCGGCACCGGGAACGGCACCGGACTCAGCCCCGGACTCAGCCCCGGACTCAGCCCCGCATAGCCCACCCCGGCACAGCTCGGCCTCGCACAGCCCGGCACCGCACAGCCCAGCCCCGGCAGCGGGACGGACCGGCATAGCCCGGCTCCGCACAACCCGGCCCCCGCACAGCCCGGCACCGGCACAGACCGGCCCCGGCACAGCCCAGCCCGGCGGTGTGCTGGCTCGGCTCTGGCACAGCCCGGCACCGGTGTGGCACACTCTGGCGCGAGTGTGGGCTCTGCCCTGGCACCATCTGGCTCAGCCCGGTACAAGTGTGGGCTCTGCTAGGCTCGGGCACGGCTGTGGGCTCGGCTCTGGTGTGGCACAGCCCAGAACGTGTGTGGGCCCAGGCTGGGCTCTAGCACAGGCCGACACAGTTTGGGGTGGGTGTGTGCTGCACTCCATTTGGGTCTATGTGGGTTTGGCCCACATGTGGCGTGGCTCTGCTCAGACGCAGCGTGACCAGCTTGTGTCAGGCACAGCACCAGTGCTGCACTAGCCTGGAGAGGCACTGAGCTGCTGTGATCACCAGGCTGGCACTACAGTGTGGCTCAGTCCCACTCCAGCTCTGAACCGGCATCACACTTGTGCCAGCACTCTGGGACCAGCACCCAGCAGCAGCACCAGCCTAGGGCCACCCACTGGCCCAGGAGGCTCCCACCTTCCCCAGACCAGGTTTGTCCCTGGCAAAGATCACATGCAGGGACTGAAACCAGTACCCAACAGGACTGACCAAGACACCAGCACCCACAGCTGTGTGAGGGCAGCTCAGGGGGCCCTATGGTGTTCCAGGAGGTCCTGTTGGGTCCCTTCAGCACCCCCAGCCTGGGTGGCACAACCAGGGCTGCACCCCTGTACCCAGCTGGTGCGCACCCCTCTGTGAACGTGTGTGCACACACGGCACCCACGTGCACATGCTGGGGGCAGATGTGTGCCCCAAGGAGGGTGTGTGCCAGTGCCCATTCCCATCTTGTGGTGACCATTGCCCAGCAGGAACCACGGCTCAGCGGGCAGAGCCCACAGGTAGCGCCAGGGCTGCAGGTCAGCCGGCAAGGGAAGCTGGGCTGTGCAGCTGGGGGCTGTGCCCTGGCACAGGTCAGTGGCTGGGGGCCGTTTCAGGCCATCGAGTTGCAGGGATGGTGGTGATGAGGTGTTGCAGATGGCACCCAGTGTGGGAGGAAGCAGCCAGGGTGCTCCAGCCCTTCTGCCTCGGTGCCCCTGCGTCACTGGCCAGAGTCCGTCCCATGTCCCCAGGGGCCCTGTGCCACGGGCCACGTGAAGCACCAGGCGCACAGAGCCACAGCACAGCCTAGGCTGGGCCTGGGGAGTGAGGAGGGGCATGTACTTGGAGCCTGGGGACCCCCTGCCCCTCTCAGCCCAACAAAGCAGTAGCAGAGATGATCCCACACCCTTACCCTGTTGCCATCCTGCGTTCCTGTCTCCCCTGGGTGGCCCCATCTGCCCTAGATGTGTGAATTGGTGAGGAAACTGAGGCAGGATTCCCTGGATGAATCTGGGAGGCTCCACAGCCTGGGCCCCCAGGTCTCATCTCATCCAAGCTGAAAAGGGATCCAGGTGTGTCTGCACTCCAGCAGAGGCAGAGGCAGCGACAGCCCTGGGGGGCGCTACCAGGCACAAGGCCCACAGCACCAAGCACGTGGGGCACAGCATTTGAGCATGTGGGATGCAGCACTGAGCATGTGGGGAGCAGCACTGAACACGTGGGGAGCAGCACTGAACACGTGGGGCACAGCACAAGGGATGCAGGTTTGTGGCTGGGTGTGGAGGGGTGCAGCACTGAGCACAGAAAGGGCAGCACTGAGCAGAAGGGGATGCAGAGCCTGGCACATGGGGAGCAGTGTTGATCATACAGGGTGCAGCACTGAGCAGATGGGGTGCAGAGTCAAAGATGTGCTGGGAAGGAGCAGGCTGGGGGGCTCTTGGAGTCGCTCCCACGCCAATACACTGCAAGTCTCCTGCACGGGAGGGGACCCTTGGACCTCTGTCAGCTCCACTTTTACAGCTCCCTCCAAGCAGTGGGACTGTGATATTGGAGGCATTTAAGGCAGTGGGGCAGCACTCTGGGAACTGGGTGGGAAACACCCCAGGTGCTGCTCCAGCCTGTGGCCATCTCATCTACAGACCTGCAGGCTCCATCCCCACTGCCAGTAACAGCAGCAGTCTGTAACTCCTGCATGGAATACACTGGCAGAGCAGGTGTCTGAGACTGTGGAGCCTTTGATGGGAGCTGAGCCTTCCCTGAAATCTGCCTGCTTGGCACTCCCAGTCCCTGCAGGTGCTCTGGTGTTCAACAGCATCACTGGGCACCCCAGCACTCGCTGGTACACTGTGGACCCCTAAGTGTCACCAGCACACTCCAGAAACCCTCCAGAAACCCTCACCACCCTGGCTCTGCTCCTGACCAATCCTCTTATTTCTGGTTGTCTTACTGAATTGTTAATTGGTGATAAATTAAAATTAATCTCTCTGCGTCAAGTGTTTTGCCTGTGACTTAACTGCTGAATGATCTCCTTGTCCTTACCTTGCTCCAAAGCAGTTCCACTGCTCTCACCTCTGTCACACATGCCGTCATTGTCCCCTCCTGCACACCCAGAGCACAGCACTTCCTCCCTGAGGTTGCTCTGGCCCCTTGGCCAGCTTCCAGCTCCCCTCCCTCCCCCGGGCCTATTCACACCTCTTCCCTCCATGTCCACTCTGCCCCTCCACTTCTCCTTTGTTCATGCTCAGATCCCTTTTATTCACCAGTCTGGACCTCTTACATCTCCTCCCTCTCCTCTTGGGATGCTCAGAGTCCCTTCCTTCCCTTCATCCATGGTGGCATCTCCTCCACGGAGCCCTGCCCTTGTCATGAACCAAAGGGGCTCTGCTTGCCCCTCTGCCAATCCTTTCCCCTCCCAGGAAGTCACCTCCTCACACTTCTGTTCCTCTTGCCCTGGGTGAGATGAGTAGAATCACAGAATCCTTTGGGTTGGAAAAGCCCTCGGAGACCTTTGAGTCCAACTGTTCCCCCAGCACTGCCAAGGCCATCCCTATGTCCCCAAGTGCCACATCCACATGTCTGTTAAATCCCCTCAGGGCTGGGGACTCCACTGACCAATGTTATCAGAGTGGAGCCTTCTCCACAAGCCCAACAGACACCCAGAGGTGTCCACGTGCACACAGGGGAGGGCAGGATGTCCTGCCCACCTCCCACAGGCCCCGTTCCTGGTGGAGGAACCAGCCTGAAGGGATGGGCTCTCCAGACCCATGTTCCTCCTCCTCCACTTTTCCTGGCTGCTCTGTGTGTCTCCTGCCTTGACAGAATCTTTCATGTTTGTGGTGGCAAGAGGCAACAACAGCAGGGAATGATCCCCTCTGGGCCCTGGCTGAGCCCCAGCCCTGCACGGCATCACCCAGGTGTCCTTTTAGCACTGCCAAAGTTGGGATGGCTGAGTGCACAGGGATAAGGAGGACAGGTCAGGGATGCCATCACAGGCAATGCCAACTGAAAGGCCCCAGAGCCCTCTAGTGCCACTGCCACAGTCTGCTGGCAAGAGTTTAGAAATTTGGCAGAAAACAAACCCCCTTGTGTTCCAGCTGGTCCTGAGAGGTCAGAGGGGCTGGGGGCAGCTGGGCTAAATTTCAGAATAGGGCACTGTAAGTCTGTTCATATTCAGTGAGAATGTCCATGATCCAGACTGACAAATAGTTGGGTTTATCAGAGCAACAGGAAAGAAGGTTCAGAATAAATGCACAAACAACAGTGTTAACATGTTGTGACAGAAGGTATGAACAGAAATATATATATATATCTATATATATCTATACACACGAGTAAATATTCCTGGGTCTGTGCATTGCCAGAGGCTGGGAAGCACTCGGTGCCTGTTCTGGACAGAGCCAGACATGGGGCCCCTGTGGTTGAGCTCCATGGGATTGCCTCCGCAGGCAGTGGACGGAAAAAGTCCTGCCAAGGTTTGCACCAGCTCCCTCACCCAACTCCTTCCCCTGCATGGGACACCACCACCACATGTTGCGTGCTGGTGAGTCACTGGCAAAGGAATTACTGAAAACAAAACTTAAATCACAGAACCACATTGTGGGTAAGGCTGGAAGGGACCACAGTGGGGTCATGTCGTCCCACCTCCCTGCTCAAGCAGGGTCATCCCAGAGCACATAGCACAGGATTGTGTCCAGATCGTTCTGGAATATCTCCAGTAAGGGAGACTCCACAGCCTTTGCAATCTATTCCAGTGCATGGCAACCTGCACAGAAAAGTTCGGTGGAATTAATATGAATTTCCAAAATCAAAACAAAGCATGATGGTCAGGGTCACTCTATTGCTTATGGAATAGATAATACATATAGTGAAAATCAAATCAGAAACAGTTAGAATCAGTGGCAAGTTAGATTCACTGCCACCATGGCACCCCCTGTCCCCCATCAGTACCCA